GAAACTGCACATCACTCGATATGTCGACGCTGAGGATTCCGATGCTGGCTGAGGCAACAAGGGTAGTACCTTGAAACTGAGGAGATACGACAAAGGGGTACTTTTTAGCGGTAAACGCGCAACGTTGTGTCTTCTGAGGATTAAACTGGACTAAACTTAGTCACCCCCAATCCGAGACTTTATTCAACAAAGACTTGACTTCAGACACAAGTTTGTTCCGGTACTCAGCGACGTTTTCCCGAGAAATATTGGCACGGCCGGTGTATAGAGCATCACCAGTGCTGTTATCCGCATATCAAATAATGTTACAGCTTCCCAACATTTTTTTTTATACGATAAGGGTGACAAACGAGCACACAGTCCACCTGATGGTAAGTGGTTGCTGCGGCCCATAGACATCTACATCTATCCTCTATTACAAATCAAAATGTAGATGCGTTGTCACCCGTGAGGACTAAGATGGAATGCCTCATTTCCAGTGAAAAGGGCCTCCGGCCACCTGCACTCACCAAGCGAAACGCAGAGGTAAACCTCTACTTCACGCTGGTTTTCTGTGAGGTCGTGGTACCACCCCGATCCGAGCCGGCCCATCCGTGCGACAGCAAAAGCTGCCGCGTGGCTTTACCACTATAAATATATTATTGATATACAGACGAAACAGCGTTGGTGATAGCACGTTACCTTGTGGAACACTAGCATTAATAAGCTTGTAGTCGTAGCACGGACCGTCTACAACGACCTTGATGCTGCGATCTGCAAGAAAGCTGGTGATCCAATTGCACAATGTCTCGGGAAGCCCTTAGGAAGGGAGCTTCGAAAGGAGCGCTTTGTGCCAAACTCGATCGAAGGCTTTCGCAATGTCCTAACTAACGGCCAATGTCTTCTTCTTGGACTCTACTACCTCCGCCTATCTATGAGTCAGGTAGACCAGAAGATCACCAGCTGATTGACCCTGACGAAAACCGTATTGGCAGTTACTAATCAGCTGGTGATCCTCAAGGTACCGCATTAGCTGGCAGTTTATAATGGATTCCATTATTTTGAAGAACAAGAAGGTGATGGCGATAGGCCTGTAGTTGGACGGGTCCGAGCGGTCGCCTTTTTTGGGGTCGGGTGGACAAAAATCGTTTTCCATGATTTCGGAACTACGCCTAGGGTGTAGAAGAACCGGTGCCAACTTCTGAGCACACTTGCTCAGCACAATTGAGGGATTCCGTCTTGCCCACTCGACTTATGGATGTCCAAGTAGAGGAGGGCTTTGCGAACCGAGTGCTGTGTGAACCGCACTTCTGGCATGGAGCACTTACACCGCGGGATAGTCGGCGGTGTGTTCCCCCCGTCATCAAAAGTCAAGTTGGACGCAAAAACGAGCCTAGCAGACCGGCTTTCTCCTTTGTGGCATGGGCCAGTGAGTCGTTCTCCCTGTTCATATATGGAAGATCTCTTCCATCTATGAACAGGAAGAACGACTCACTGGCTTCTATAAGCTCACACTTCTATAAGCCATCTGGCTTATAGAAACTGAAACACTTGGATAACCCTGGCGAGAGACCAGAATGCACGGGTTCCCGAAGGAAGCAAACTAGTTTCTCGCCAATTCTGCCTTTGTGCTCTGACTTTGCCTTATCATTAACTCTTTTGAAGGACCTGGAGGCGGAATTATAATATTCAGGGTACTTGAATTGGGATGTAATAATGATGATGATTAAAGGGGCTTCATACAATTTTTACATTAATCTAGTTCGAATATATTTGGAGATATTAAATATTAGTTTCTTTACTGCTATTACTGATCACGAAGTATCTTTGAATCTATTATCAGATAAGAGGGGCTTTAGATTCTCATTTTATTCTGTAATAATTAATTATAATCATTGGCTTTATTTTATATCAAAGCGTAGGATGGTCCCCCATTATACGGAGTGCAGGAAATCGATGGAAACAGGTAACTCATGATCATGTTTTATAGCATTTCATGAGGGAAGACTATATTGAGCAGCATGCACTTGTGATTGGGGTCGCCTGTAACCTGGATCCAATTTTTGCACCAAAATTGTGGAATACTACGTGGTAGGACTCCTTTTCTGCCTAAGAATCCTTATCAATAGGAGCCATCCTCTTACCCATTTCTGCCGACAAGAATTTGTTTTTTTTCGGCATTGCACTGCTGTGTTTGAGTCTGATGTGCCAACATAAATTAAATAATAAACATTTGTCACTATTTTTAAAACTGGCTGCAGTTATCCATTATTTACAGTGGCCACTTGCCATCGGGTGGACTTGTAGTTCGTTTGTCACTTCATTTTTATTAAAAAAAAATAACACTAGGCTAGACAACGTGGAAACACATTTCAATCATGCGTGTTAGAACGGAGATATTTCAAAGAAGGAAAAAAAGAGTATAGAAAGATATTTGTATAAATATAATACATACAGTATTATATTTATACAAATATCTTTATTTGTACAAATGTATTTAATATTTTAGGTTATTTCTCTGGATAGTGCCTAGGTAAGGATGGTTTGCCTAAGCCATGCATTATCTTTATTTATATCCAAACCTTTCTTTGGTCAGCTGACTCTGACAAAGCAGCCAATTATTATCTTTTCCGCTGACTCGATTTTTATAACTATACTGATTTCATACTCATACATTACTTTTATCATAACTATACAACACCCTATGTCACTTGGGAATAGTATAGCTTTCAGAATCATACTCGTATTTCCTCCTTTAAACAAACTTACTTTTCATTTCACCTCTTTATAATATCATACGTCTTTATAATATGAGTATAGATTGAATAAGCCTATACGAGTATTTGTTTTTAACAGTTTAAGCGTCTCTTTTGTTTATAGGCACAATATAAATGCTTTTGCATACTGATGAAAAGTACCTTTTTACAAGTAAAGGTTTTGGATAAAAAAATCTGATAACAGGGACAAGGAAAAGGGACATGCCAGACTTTTTGCGCATCTTCTCCTCGAGAAACAGGGCTATACTTTTAATATCGTTACCGTTACAATTTGATTACTGTTTGACATTTTTGGTGAGACACGCTGTTTTTATAATTTTTTCCATTCTCTTATAAATCACGAAGACATCAGGAGATGGGTACATAAGCCCACCTTTGTCCTTATACTTTATAAAATGATGTGCTTCTTCATATTTATCGGCAAGTAGTGCACCATTACATGTCTCACATTTTACAATTTTTATTAAACTATGCACAACAAAACCCGCAATGTACGAAATAGCCTGCGAGCTAAACTCCGCCAAGTCTTGAACAAGCATACTAACTTCTTCGTCAAATTGTACCTGCTCGTATAGTTGATCAATATCGTCATCGACACTTTCATCAGTATAACGTGGTTTCATTGTTACATTTATGTATTGCACAGCCTATGAGCAAGTTAAGAAAGATATTTCTTCGAGAGATATACAATTGCCTTAATCTATGTCTCTCAGTTCGGATTTAACTAAGATTTTTTATAAATAGCCTGAAATTTTCGTGCTGTTGGATTACTTTTACATCCACCATGAGCGCGAATGTGGCCAAACATTAGCTCTATGTGGTCTTGGCTTATTTTATAGGCTGGTAGATACTGCAGTCTTTGTTCTTGTTCAATTAGATGCATATAAATACCTTTTATGTTTTTCATAGATTCTAAAACAACCAATAAATCCAGTTTTTCTACTAGACTGTACTAATTTCAACCCACCTGTTAACTGTTAGGAATTTATATAAGTTTCAGTTCTATCACGAAGTTCAAATGTTAGTGGTTCATTACCTGTAAAAAGTGGTTTTTTGAATTTAAGTTGCATCATGTTGCTAGAATTTAAAACGTCAAAAAGATTATTTATCATTTTTTTAGAGTTAATAGTTCAATCAACGGATTGAAATTGGGCCATGTTACGTTCAGCACAAAACATCAGGGCATCGGCAACACTCTCACAAAATAATTGGGATGCTAATCGCACTTAATTTTCTATAATTTTTGAAAATTATGTGTCCTCGTCGTAATTTCTTTGCTAAATGCAATTTTTCCTTCTCTTGAATTTCAATCTGTTGTTTTAAATGACTAAAATCTAATACCTATATTTGCCTATATCGTCGACCATAACACTATATGCTTCAAAAGCATTTCTTAATAATTTGGGCATATAACATGGATCGGGAAATATAAATATTGGTTTATTTGTAAGGGGATGATAAAAAAAAGATATAATATTTTATGTTTAGTGAGCATCGGAGTTCCTTTGCCATGAAAATATTTGCTGGACAACCGTCAAAGTTCAGCGAAGTTACTTCAAAGCCAGTTTCTTCCAGTAACTCTAAATACTACCTTACTAAGCTAGATCGCTGTTCTCCTGTAACACCAGCTACAAGAAAATATCCTACTGGTATCTTGAATGCTCCGTTGATAGCTGTAACTAAAAATTCAAGCGCCGCTTTAGCTTCTGCCAAGTAATCGCCTGATGTTCCTTGGTTACATATATCAACATATCCATGTATTTTTTTTACCGTCTCACTCAATACGCCGCCTGATCGCCATTTCGTCCACTACTAAGTTACATAGCAATTTGTAGTCAGTATTACGAGCCTTATACTTCAATGCTTTGAAAGATTCCTGTGTAAAACCTGGCTGCGCATCGACTGATTCGTACCATTTTTTTATAGTGCGTGAGGTAAACAAGTGTGGATTTTTTTTTTGTACATATTTGTATGCCTTCTGCGAGTAAAAATAAATGGTGCAAGTGAATGTTCTAAGATCTGGCGAACACTTGGTTTTTAATGTTTAGTGTAGTACTTTTGTAACGAGCTATTAAATCATTTACACCGAGGTTACCTAAATGTGCGGATTGGTCTGGATTCACAAACTTTTCTTCTTGAATATCTGTCAAAATATCTTTTAAATTTGCAATTTTTTTGCAATATCTACATGCTTTCTTTTTTAGTCGTTTAATTTGAAATCTTTGTTTTTATCATCTTTTCTCTCTAACTAATTTTGATGCGCAGGCTCCGTTTTAGGAGTGTTTCTACTATGTGAATATTATCGGAAGCATCTGCTAGTTTCTGAAAAACATATAAAATTATAGCATTACATCTACAATTTTCTTTTTCAAGTGAAACTCTAATTCTAAAAACTTCTTACCAAATCCTTGGTCTGGAGTTTCTGACTTTCTTCTTCCTTTTGGTTAATATTTTGGCGCATATGTTTTAAAACTGGCTCATCAGTTCGTTGGTCAGGCTTTAAGTGATCAGATAACTCCAAAATATTCAATTCTTTTGTTCCCATAACAAACAAAACTTATTAAATAATATTCAATAATAATACAACGTTAAAAAATTCTGATGTTTGATTTAAAATCAAACATGGTCAGAATTATGATTTATTATATTTACGCGAATAGTACAAAAAAATTTAATTAAATATTTTTAAGTCTTAATATTGAATTGCCATAGCGATAACTCAAATAGATATGACGTTAACTTACATTACACTTTTGATTAGAACATCCCGGCGCTATAGGTTCTATCCTGAAAAGTTGAATGATTGATTTAATGAATGTCCTAAAATATGACAATAGCTGTCAGTTATTAAATAAAATTTAACGCATTTCTGCAAAATTTAGGCAGTTTTAATTTTGGAATCGCCCATTCAAAGAGCCTGCGATTTTTCTTTAGAGGCATGGAATGTGAAATGGAACATTTCTGCCTCAAAATTATTTGAGCATATGACACTAGTTTTTGTAGGGAACTAGTTTGGTGGCCTTCCTGTGGTATCAATCCATTTCCTTTTTAAATTAGCATCTTTTGGGAAGCTGAAAAGGTACGATAATAATTTATTAATCATTTATCACCCAGTAGGGTAGGCAGAGACTACGGACTTCCATTGGCGCGATCCTGACACACCTCTTTCGCCTCCTTTACATCCATATATCTACGCATACACGCTCGTCGGTTAAGGGTACTCCTAATATGGCCCATTTTCAATGTATCGCCAATTTGGTCGATAAATCTTCGTCTAGGGCGTCCCTTCCCGACTTTGCCATTCACTTCTGAAACATAAATTTGCTTTGTCACTCTTTCCTCATTCATTCTTTCTACGTGACCAAACCACCGAAGCATTCCTTTTTTAATCCTAGTCACAACGTCATCGTGCAAACCACACTTTTCTCTTATCATACTATTTCTCACCCTGTCATTCAGATTCAGCCCTAGCATACTCCTTAATGACCGCATTTCTATAGCCTTTATTTTACTCTCTTGCTTCTTCTGCCATACCCAACTATCACTACCATACATTAAAGTAGGGACTAACACAATATTATGAATTGCCATACGTGCCTTCTTTGACACATTCGGCCTCTTCATAATAGTGTGTAGAGCCCCATTAACTCTATTTCCTGCATTCACTCGTCGTTCTATATCCTTATAATATCTACCACGCCTGCTTAATAAACATCCCAAATATACAAACTCATTCACTTGCTCAATCAACTCCCCTTCTATTCTTATTACACATAACGTTTTACTTTCTTCTCTTTCAAAAACCATCACTTTCGTCTTACTTGCGTTCACTTTCATACCCCTTTCTTTTAATGACCTGTTCATTAAAGTGATGGTTCATTTGCAACTTGGCCGCCGACGATGTAAATATGACTTGATCATCGGCGTACAAAAGGCATTTGTTGGTTAACTCACCCATTCTCAACCCACATTCTTCAACTTTCAAAGTTTGCAAACAACTGTCCATAAATAGGTTAAACAGTCATGGAGAAGCTACACAGCCCTGTCTGAAACCTTTTTGAATGCCAAACCAGTCCAAGTAGTCCCCGTTGATCCTGACACAAGCACTAGAGTCCCTATAAAGAGACTTTAATGCCTGTATCAGACCAGCGCTCAACCCAAATGTGGTCAGTGTTTGCCATAACACGTTCCTGTCCACTCTGTCATAAGCCTTTTCCAAGTCCATGAACGCACAAAAAAATTTCTGGTTTTTGACCAAAAATTTCTCCGCAATCATGCGCATGGAAAAGACCTGATCCGTACACCCCATCTCCTTTCTAAATCCAGCTTGCACATCCCAAATTTTTCCATCAGTTTCTTCCATAACTCTTACAATTAACACCTTAGCATACAGTTTACCCACAAAGCTAAGCAAGCTGATACAACGGTAGTTTTTACAGTTCTGCTGCGACCCCTTTCCCTTATATATTGGGACTATAACGGTTTTGCACCAGTCTTCCGGTACCCGCTTCAGTTCCCAACATAAATCAAACAAGGTGTACAGCAAGCTTGCAACCACACCCTCTCCAGCCCTTAGCATTTTGAGTGATACTCTATCATATCCGGCTGCCTTACCTGCTTTCATGCTTTTCATTGCTTTCATTATTTCATCTACACTTATCTCCCTACCTCTCATAACAAATAAATAGCAAGAAAAATAATGTTGACTTATTTTTAGCAAAAGTCACTATTATAATATTATCTGATTTCTGAACCATGCCAATTAGGTATAATAACGTATTCGAAGCTTTTGAAAACATAAAAGTATGGAATTAGCACGAAGATAAAACTTTCAATCAATTCAATCCAAAACACTTCACTGATGATTAACAGATTAATTAAATACCATTATGTCACATCAGTCTTCCCACCGGGTTGAAACTGTTGACAAATTGAAAAAATAAACTATAATAGCAATTCGCCAAACGACATTATTGTTGATAGCATACGTTAGTGGATCTGCACGAGCAAATCACTAACTCATCGCAAGATACTCGCAAAGAGAATATAACCACTATGTTTAGATACTCGTACAGTGGCCGTATTACGCGATACATCCCCATAAATAAAGTATCGTTTTGTCAAATTTACATTGCTTGTTCAGTCGCTTAGCGACATACGTGAGTAGTGGTTAAGGAGCAATGTATTTACCACAAAATGTACAGTCGCTGTGATATTTGAAAACAAAAATAACGCATTAAGAGCAAGAAATATTTTACGATTTGTTATTATTCACGATTTTAAAGATAAATATAGTAAAATACTTGTACTTACATATAGTAAGCGATTCTATGATTTACAAAGTTTTGTTTTGGCTTTGGTTTTTACAAGAAACCACTGAACAACACGGCTTTCTGATATTGTTTCACGATTACGGTCGAAAGCACACTTATTCGCGAAGACGGCCATTTGAATAGTACTTAGCATTTTGATCATATCGCGCGGACATAGACACGCCCCCTTGCCACTTGTCCTCTTTTTATGGGTGTTAAACCAGAAAAAATTACGATTTCACACCCACGTCCCGCACGTTGTCCGCGACGGTGTACCACGGCGACCGGCGGTAAACACAGCTTAATCGCGATCGCAAAACACTCTATTTCATAAGTTATCCTTCATCTTTGAAAGCTGTATGATGTGTGTATAATATTATAGTACCTGGGTGGCTGAACTTTGCTCGAAATTTGAAAATATTAATAACTTTCTGGATAGGTAAGGTCCGTTTCCGAGAAACCAGTTATGTAAATGTACATATAAAATATACATATTGTTATAATTTATTTCTGCCGATCTGTGTTACTATGTGGGTTATAACGATAAAAAACAAAAAAAAAACTAAACCGTGTAGTACTCGCGTAAATATAAGATATCATTATGAAGTTACATATCATATTATGTGTGAAAATACATACAAAGATTGTTGTATGCTACAGTCAAGTGGTATTCGCCAAGTTAGACGTGTAATCGGACGTGTATTCATTTTTATGATCATCCAGGAACGATTCTAATAAATTTCCCTTATTTAATAAGCTTTGCACTGCGCTGCTCACGAAAGTTAAAATTTTCTTTATTTGTATTTTTCTGACGTCTATTACATTTTATATGTATTTGATTTGTTATCTCACTCCCAGTGTTGCCTTTTTTTGATGCAGCGTTGTTTTTTTTAGCCGTAGTAACTGTTCCGATTTAAAAACTAAATTTTATTAACTATATGTATTAATTTTTATCTTAATTCTCATAACTTATGCCTTCCAACATGTTTCCTTGTCTCCCAATGTAAATGTGTCTACTAAATAGTTTAAAGTGTTTAAATTTAAGAACAGATAAGAAAATAACTATTCTACTTACCACATCTTTATAGTTAATGTGAAGTATTCACATAAGTATAAGGTAACATTGGACAACGTTTTCTTAAATGTATGTGAAGACTATACGTTACACAAAACTATTTTTTTTTCGAATTTTATCGCATAATGTTAAGGTATTTTAATTTCCGAATACTTTATTTTGCTTTGCACCCATATCTACGAGGGTAGGCAAGGTCTGTTCTTTTGTCAAAGTTAAACCACGCCACCTTCGGCTTTGAGCTCACTTTGTCTTGAAATCCTTGTATTTGAGACTTTTGATAAACTGCAATATTGCAAAAAAGCAATTGTTGTTTTCGCATGATACATACGTTACGATAATCCGTATACCTCTAGATTTTTTAAAAGGATTGTTAAAGATATTTATATACCACAGAGAAAATAATTCATAAAAATGTCATAAGTGCTTACAGTTGAGTTTAATTAGGTGCCACTTAATGACAAGAAGCTTAAGACTTTAGGTCTCTTAAAAAAAGGAGACGAAACTACAATACAGGAATCCTCCTACAAATTCCTTTTTTTTTAAAACTTTTTTTGCACAGACTACCATTGCTACTGACAAATAACATTTTTCAAATGAAGCCAAGTTTAATGTTTTGAAATTAATATATTTTATTGGCTGATTAGTCCCTGTTTTTAAAATAAGAACTTAATGATGTCTCATTCAAACAAATATTATGAAGGCTTTTTAAGCAGTCGCATTAAGTCCTCGAGAAAACTCGTAGTTAATGACTTTTAAGAATCTAATTTCACTTCCTTCAATAAGCGTAATTCATTTTAAAAACTGTGGAAGATTTTCAAGTAAGATTCTTGAAAGAAGATATTTGCTTTTAAATTTTAAAAGCCTTAGATAGAAGGGCTTTTTGTGCCTGTGCCAAACACCTACTTTGTTCCAGTTTGGCGGCTAAGAGGGCCTATATTATTACAGGCTTGGAGGAACTTCAATGATCTTTCAACTGTTTAAAAGGGCATCAGATCAGTAATTCTTGCATGCCTGGAGCATCCTTAAGTCATATAATGAATAAAATTTTAGCTAGTAAAGAAGTAGTAGAGAAGAGGCAATTTAAACAAAAATCAATTATTAAAATATATTGATAATCTATATACTTTAAATGTACATAAAATTATCTTGCTTACATTG